AGGGCGCTGTCGAAGGGGTCGGAGGACATGATTTTGGCGAGTTGGAGACTTTGCCTGCTTAATGCTGTTATGGGAGTTACGCCTTGTGGTTGAAGAGGTCGAGGTTTCGAATCCATTTCGGGACTGATGGTCCAAGCTCTTGTGACCATATATAATTGAGACTAAGCTCTCAGGACGACATCTTCTCGAAATACTTCAAATACTGCAGGTGATCAGAAGGCTCAATCATGTCATCAAGCGCCTCACTCCTCTCATCCAAATCCCATTCCTTCTGTCAAGCCCTCATATCCCCTCCCTCCCCCACCACCCTAATCTCAAAATACTTCACCCCCTCCTCCCCCAAAATAACAGAACATGGCCCCAAATGGTGCCGTGACCGTCTCCCCTTTCTAGCAAAAACATTCACAGGGACTTCAGGTCCCGATAGCTGTGAAACGTACTTTGAGCTCCTCTCTAAAACGCTTAAGATGCATATGCATGAAAAGAGTTTTCCATCACAGCGAGGGTTCATTGTTGATGCTGATGCTACTACTGAGGAGAAAGGTGGTGGGAAGGGTGTGGTATGTGTGGTGGGGAATGCGGAGTTTGAAAGTGTGAAGACGGGGAAGAAGTGGAGGGAGAAGTTTATGTATCGGTTGAGTGGATTTGATGAGGAGGGGAGGATTGGGCATTGGGTGTGTATTCTTTTGCGTGGGCGACATGACTTTCTTATGCTAATATAAACTAACAGGAGATCTGGAGTGATCCACTAAGTGCTTGGGACGCTGTCGGTCCTGAGAAGGATAACAAACATTGATCTTTAGCTTGTCAACAGTATAGAAGTCTCTCCAATATGCCGAGGAGCAAATATGATACCTGATGCCCATAAATCTGTTATAACCATCAAGCAGGCATAGCCGCCCCATCCCCTCTATGATCACTCCCCGCACTATAAACAATCTGCTTTCCATCATGATGTACCCTAATAACCTGTCCCCTCCCGAAAATCCCCCTCTCCACCCCCTTCACAACCTCAACCGGATGTCCCAACTTCTTCAACCCATCCACAACATCCTCCCCTATGCCGTCCTCCAAATAAACAGTCTGATCCATAACTTTACCCACCTCAGGTGTCCCCGCACCAATGCAAAACCTCGGCGCATCGAGAGCGGCTTGTGGTGTCAATCCGAAGACTAACATGTTTAGCAGGACTTGAATGTGACCTTGTGGTTGCATGAACCCGCCCATGACGCCATAGACTGTGTGAAGTGTGTTGTCCTTTGCATTTGTGATTAGAGCGGGGATGATGGTGTGGTAGGGTCTTTTGCCAGGAGCGTACGCGTTTGGATGGTCTTTTTGGAGATTGAAATTGGCGCCGCGGTTTTGAAGTGGGAAGCCGCAGCCTTTGGGGATGATGCCTGTGCCGAAGCGACCGTAGACACTGTTTATAAAGGAGCAGCCGTTACCCGCGGAGTCGGTTACGGCAAAGTATACTGTGTCACTGTGGTTGTGGGCGGGGGAACCGTGGTGGACGTGATCGTTTGCCTTTTTTGAATCAAAAAGCTTGGCCCGTTCGCGGAGATAGTTTGGGGAGATCAGTTCTTGGGTTGGTACATTGGTTGTATTTGGGTCGGCGACCCACCATCCTGCGTCGGAGAATGCTATATGCAGTGCTTCGATACATGCGTGGAGATGTCTACAGTATTTTAGTCGAGATAACGAAGTGCTGCAAGGGAATGGACATACTCGACAGTATTATGCTCCTTCGCACTCCACTTCCCAATCTTCCCTGTCTTCTCTAACTCCTCCAATATCCCAAGAGCCATCAATGCAACGATTCCCTGACCATTGGGCGGGTGTTCCCATAGCTTGATGCCATCTTCATCTTTATTTACCTCTTGTCCTCGGTAATGTAGGGTTATAGCATCAACTTCTTCGCTTCCCTGATCGCCGTGGTTTTTTAGATCTTCCAGTGTCAGATGACCTCCCAGATCTGATGTCACTTTAATTATCGCTTCTGCCACAGCACCTTCGTAAAACCCTTTCTTCCCAGATTTGGCTAGAAGTTTAAACGTATTCGCTAGAGTTGGAATCTTCATGATTTCTCCTGGACCGGGAGCTCGAAAGCCATCTGTAGCGTTTGAGTCCTTTTTGAGCATTTCACTTCCATTCGGCGATGCTCTTCGGATGTGATCCTCAGTCTGTTGCCACTGTCATCCGGTTCGATCAGCCCTGTACGTGTCTGTTTTCTATCCAATGTCAACACTTACAAGATAGCCACTTAACTCACTAACCGGAAATCCCTCCTCTGCCAATTCTATCGCCGGCTTCAGCACATCCTCCAAAGTGACTCTCCCACTTCCAAACTTATGTACTGCGTCGACCCAGCCAGCAGCAGCACCAGGGATAGTAACAGCATGCACACTATCCATAGGAATCTTTTCCTGCTCTCCTAGATTTGATTCTTTGCGAATTTGCTCCAGAGAGGTTTTCGACCCTGAGCGACCGGATCCATTTAAGGCATGTACTTTCTTTGTGGACGCATTGTAGAAGAGCATAAACATGTCGCCGCCTATACCTGTCATGGATGGTTCTGTTACATTGAGAGCAGCTGCCATTGCTACGGCTGCGTCCTGAAGGCATTTGATCAATACTAGTAGAAAATCTAGGGGAAAGAAACCTAATACAAATACAGATGAAATGATGAGTATAAGAAATAAACAGGTTATAGAGATATACAAGAGAAACATACAGCAGCATTTCCACCTTGTTGTAATATTCTAACGCCAGCCGCACTAGCCAAAGGCTGAGTGGAAGAAGCAATTCCCTTGGTGCTATGCACGACGCTCCTCCTACTAGGGAAAGCTTGAAAGTCCGGATCCTCTGCCGGGTAGACGTGATTCGCGTTTAGAGGCATCTTTACTAACTGTGGATCAAGTAGAAAAACAACGTAGAGGGAAATTGATGGCACTTTCAAAGGAGAGTATTACCATTGGAACTTATTCGCGAATGATGGAGTCATGGCATGGGGTATGGTTGCCGGCCGATAGCGGGGGTTAACCTAAGCTTCCAAACCGGACAGAAATACGTGGGACGAAAATATAGAATTCCTGGTTTTGACGCGTTGAAATAGGAATAAACAGAGGAATTTGAACGAAAAAGATAAGTATGTTCATATTCGATGATTTTGACGCGTCAAAATTATCATCTCATCATCAGTGGTCCTCATGTTCTGGGCAGGGCTAGTCATACACCTTTCCTTTTGGTCGTAGAGCGGAGATGGAGATAGGACCGGCCGGTAGAGTATCGCGATTTGATCGAGTTCCTACGCGCGCCATCGTGAAGATTCAGGCATTGTTGTTTCTTTGAGAAAAGATTTGGGAGTTGAGGAGTCCTGGGAGGTACAAGCAACTGCCAAGACCTCCGGAGTTTGGATATTTCGCCGCATTCTGAACCTTACCACCTCAACTTGTTCTAAATCGTAAAAATCCTCCAGACAATGACAGGACATGTTCAAGTCTCCTTGGGTATGCTCAAGATGTCTCATTCGCACCTGCAGATCAGGTAGCAGACGTACAACCCGATTTCATTGTATGCAATCGTCAGAATAAGAAAGAGAGAAATACATCTGACAAATTTATAGCATCCCAATCCTCAACTTCATCGAAAGCTATCTATCCAGCACTCTTGACAAGAGCTCGGAAAATAGCTGCTGAATACAAAACTGTATCTGAACAGCTTTTGGACGACTATGATGTTAACAGCGCGAAGAAGACGGGGGAGCTTGCCCCAGTCGCAAATGCGTTGAAGAGATGGGAAGATGCCAATGAGGTAAGGAATAGGATTTGATTGCAGCTAGGACAATCGACTGAAATTATGGCAGTCGAGGAGAGAGTTAAGAGCTCTGCTTGATGATCCGACAACCGATTCTGAGCTGCGTGTTTTGGCCGCTGAAGATCTGGATACGTCTACTCAACAGCTAAATGAAGCATCGCAATCATTGACTAAAAGCTTGGTGCCAAAGAACCCATCAGACGACTTGCCCTGTTTGATTGAAATACGGCCTGGAGCAGGAGGTGGAGAAGCTACATTATTCGCAGAGGACTTACTAGGAATGTATCGAGCGTACTGCTCTGAACGAGGACTACGTACCAAAATCTTGAATCTGGAAAGTGTAGATAGTGGTGGCATATCCGAGGCTATTCTTGAAGTTGAATCGCCAGGCGCTTACGGAACTCTACGTTGCGAAGCTGGTGTGCATCGAGTACAGCGCGTACCTGCCACAGAAACCAAAGGAAGGACGCATACAAGTTCAGCAGCCGTTATGGTTCTGCCATCCTTTCCCTCCTCACAGCCAGATGAGAGTCTCCGTATCGACGTCAACGACCCTAACAGCGACTTTTTCATCGACCCAAAAGAAGTTCGTTTGGATGTAATGCGCGCTTCTGGCGCAGGAGGCCAACACGTCAACAAGACCGAATCGGCGGTTCGTCTCACGCATATCCCCACAAGCACTGTCGTCGCAATTCAAGAATCTCGTTCGCAAATAGCAAACCGAGAAAAGGCATGGCAAGTACTTCGATCACGTCTAGCGCAAGTTCGAAAAGAAGCACGTGAAGAAGAGATGTTGAAATTGCGAAGAAGTGTGGTTGGCGTTGCTAGAATTGGCAGAGGTGATAAGATCAGGACGTATAACTGGGGACAGCAGCGTATAACGGATCATAGAAGTGGTATGACTGTCCATGGCATTGAAGGGATTTTAGCTGGTGGCGCCAATTTGGAGAAGCTCATGGTGAGTGTGAGGGAATGGATGGTGGAAAGGGAAGTGGAGGATATGATTGTTGCTGCAGAGAGTGCTTGATGTTGCAGCTGCTTGTAAGTTTCGGGCTGCATCTTGCCGTTTCTAGAGTTCTGCTGCCGGGTCACATTACCCAAATCAGTCACAGACACCATTCAGTCACCGAGAAGACATGCTCATTCTCTACATAGCCACTTGACGGCACACCATCATCCAACAAAGAAGCTTGGTGGCCCAGTGGAAGGCCGTCGGGCTCATACTTGCAATAGTGAAACCCGAAGGTCGCTGGATCGAAACCAGTCCAAGCTATTATTTGACATTGAAGTTCTTTTTCTCTTATGTATTTGTACTTTTTGGAGCAAACATGCTCATATCTTCAACCTGAATAGATACTCCAACTCTCCCTCTAATGGTTTGATCACTTTGTCATAAAACCCTGAGCCAACAGCTTCATCGTCCAGATCCGCCTTCTTCCCAGCCGGCACCCAAGGCAATTCCAAGCAAGCTCTAACAGCGTCTTTGTACGGCTCTGAACACCAGTCTTCTAAAGTTTCGACTACTCGCCGAGCTACGGACAAGTCCGTGTTGGGTGATGGATTGCTTATTTCAGTGGAGAGACGAAATGTCGAAAGTGGGCGGCCCTTGTGGATTTCCAGCAACAGAATCCCTAGTTCCAGAATGCGGGGATTGCGGTGTTGAATGGACATGTCGGCGGCATCGTGAGCTTGATTGACAGCATCGAAACGTGTAGAGAGGTAGGGGCGCTCAAAGTCGACAGTATCGACTGTAAGGTGATAGAAGAATACTGAATCCTTCTCCAATGTCCTCCTTGAACAGGTGCTCCCCATACATTGAATAAGAGCATAGGCAAAAGTGAGGGCGAGGACTCGTTTCACCTTCAGGGTTTTGAGAAGTTGACCCGAAAGTGATTCTTGCAGACTCATTCTCGGGCTTGTTGCCGGAAACAAGAGCTTTTTCGGCTGTGAGCGCAGCCGCCAAAGAGCCTTTTTGGAATTCACTTCCACCAAAAAGCGAAGGGAGCTATCACCTGTGTCAACAAAGACGTCGCATAGCTTGGGAAGAAGGACTCTGTCGTTGAAGGCCCCTTTGGTTTGGGAGACCAATACCGTGCTCTCTAACCATCGACGTTCACTTCCTGATATTGGCTTCCCCGGAAATAACAGCTCAAATTCTAGCTCCTTGGGCTGTCCATTACGAATGGCGGATGGCCACGCTTTCAAACAAACCATTGCTTCATGCCGGGACGGGCAGTTGCAATCCCAGTGCTCGCCAATAGTTGTGAGCAGAGAATTAAACAGTTTACGAATTTCAGAAAAGGAGGGTCCTGGTTTACTCTCGATAGCTAGAGCTTGCGAACGCTGTTTCGATTGTGATTTCATTAGAACTGATAGTCGTTTGTTCCACGTCTTGAGATTCTTGACGCAAGCATTTCTATTCTTTTCTTCTTTGAAGAAACGGAAGCGTTCGAAAAATGTGCTCGATGTCTTGCCTGATTTGCGATCAGACACAAAGTCTTTGAGCTTAGTGTACATGTTTGTATTCATCTGGGGTGATATCAGTAAATATATATAGAATCATTTCTGGGCGATTTGAAATCACCTTCTCCTTCGTGGTCAAATAGTTAACCTTTCCCTGAACAAGTTTATCGATCAAGCCTAAAATCCTCCCTACAATTAAAGTGAAAGAGTCCAACTCATTCTGGCTTCCAAAATACATCGACAAAGCATCCCTAACAGCTTGATCTTGCTCCCACGCTGTTAGCGTCTCATCCGATTCAAGGGCGGCTTTGCAGTCTGGGCATAGCAACGGAAGATCAGTAACCAAGCCTTTGAGATGGCGATGAAGTAAATCGGTTTCCCACCAAAAGTCATCGTAGAAATCTTGTAGTTTGGCGTCTCTGCGGCTGTTTAGTGTTACATTAAGGATTGTATTAACGCCACTTGAGTAGGCTTTCGCGGCTTCGACCACTAGGGGCAAAATAGCGAGGGCGAGTCCTGCAACTTCGATTCCAGTGGCCATTTTCACTTGCAAAGTCACTTCACAAATACACAAGTGCAAGTGAGAGGTGACAAGAGGTATAAAGATGAAGCGTTGGAATCAAGACTCCGCGAATTCGTGTCTGCCACAGCTGGCTCAGCCCCCAAAACAGCCAAGGGTGTGGGAAAAGCAATTAACCGTTGGGCCCACCAGATGCACGTGACCACCAGATGCACGGAACATTTTAACTTAACCACGATTCTTAATTAATTAATAACAACTCAACCACATTACCAAATGAGTTCAAATTTTTATGAGCAATAGAACAATGTAACGCGCATCCAATAAATCGCTAATTTTATATATAAACCTAAGAACGGGCGCGCACTGTGCGCAAAGAGTGTCTTGGCACTAACCGTGCCCTTCCATTAATAATTACCACTTTGAACTTAACCACCAACCTTGTGGATTTAGTACTTATAGCAGTAGCTCTTTGAGGCCGTTTAACAGTCAGATTCAAGTTATTTGAAAGCTGTTTATCCACAGCTCTTTGTTCTAGAGCCTCCTGTCGCACAGCCTTCTGTTCAGCCTTCTCCTTATCCTTCAATTTTTTAGCCTCAGCCCGCTTCCTCTTATTATCTATAACCTCAAGTGCCCTAGCATCCTTAATACGCTGTTTTTCAATCTTTTCCTCAGCCTTACGCTCAGCCTCGCGTACCTTTTTATACTCCTTCTCTGCCATAACGTCCCTACATCGCTGTACCTTGGTAGGTGACATCCACAGTGCAACCGACGGTCCCTCCGCACGAATAACGTCAAACAGTGCCTTGCCTCTCTTTCTACGGTTCTTTTCAATCATTATACCTCTTCGCAGGCCCTCATTCTCGGCCTGTAATAGCGAAACCTTGGCGGTCAATGCCTGAATCTTATGAACCAAAGATCGGGCTTGGGCATCAACCATACTACCAACTAGATCTTGAATTATGCGATGAGCGGTACGCCAATCAAGGCTGGAGGTAGTTGTAGAGTGACTTTTACCTGAATTAGGTCGTTCTGGCTCCTGGGTGCCCTGCTTCTTTTTTCGTGGTGTAATAAGAGCGATTACCGTCTCCGCATTAAGAGGGTATAAGCCGGTCTTCTTCCACCCACTTGCGATGTTTGCAGGGGTAAAAGCCTTCTGGTATGCGACCCAGAAGAGCGGCCAGAACTCTCTTTTGCTTATATTACAAAGCCCTTGTGTATCATGAATCCAGTGTTGCAAGGCAGTTGAATAATAGGAAGCGAGTGGCCCAAATAGTGAGACATCAAGCGGCTGAAGTCGATGCGTTGAATGCGGTGGATATATGCAAATAATGATTCGATTTCCCACGCAATAATTCAGAAACCGCATATTCAAATGGCTGTTGTGCCCGTCAACATATAGGAGTCGATAGCCTCGTTCAGCCTTGTCACGTGTTGCAGGGTCAAATACTTGTGTCAACCATTGATATCCGAGATCGTCATTGGTCCAGCCGGTCTCTGTGCTTGCGAAATAAGCTCTTTGCTTTGCCGGGTTGAAATCGTCGATCCAGGTATCCTGTATGTTACCACTAATAGCTTGGTAGATCACTGAAGGTGGTAAAGTGGTACCGTCCTGGCAAATCGTCGCTATTACTGTGACCCACTCCCTGCAGCCATCCTGTGCAGCACCAAGTAATTTGCCACTGGCATAGAGATCATGGGTGAAGACTCTTTGCCTCTTTTGAATATAGCCAATTAGAAAGCCCTTCTCATCCATATTATAGGTGTTGGCAGGAAGGATACTGTATTGGTCGATTTTTTGAACCACCTTCGCAATTTTTAGTACAAAGGAATAACACTAAGTTCATATACTTACAAGCTCGAAATAGAGCTTGAATTGCTCTATATTATCAGCTCTTCGTCGGTCCCGATCAGTGCCTGAGAGGTATGCACTAGTTAATACTTTAGAGTAACGAGAAACGAATCTTTTGACCCAATTTCTTCCTGGCCACCTCTGAGCGATATCATGGGCAAATAGCCGAACCATTGAGTTGGTAGGAGGTAGGCCGCGAAGAGTTAATTTTTCAATATAATTAACTAAGATCTTCTCTTGTGCTTTGGTCATTAATGCCTCCGAATCGGTTTTATCTTTCTGAGAGCTAGTGACACCGCGATGGCGCCGAGATAGGGTAGATCGTACTACACCATACTTCTTAGCTGTTTCAGTGTAATTAGGGTGCTCCTGGCTTTTCAAATCATTCAACGCTTCATCAATTGGAGCCATATTGACTGAGTTATTCGAATTTGAAAGTTGAGACGATTTGTGTGGCGAACCGTGCATCTGGTGGTCACGTGCATCTGGTGGGCCCAACGGTTATGATTTCTTACTTCTCCACTTCACTACCGACTCTCAACTTGATACCTTTGGCAGCAGGAATCATATTGGACTCTCTTATGAGATTGACGCCCGTGACAAAAAACGATTTTACCTCACATCTTCGTTTGGTTGACCCACTGCGCGCAACTCATCCCACATATTCGTATCTCACTCTTAAGCGCCTACTTGCCCTTGGAAACCTGGAGTTTCCAACAGAGCTGTCAGAAATAGGGATATCAGAGATGCAGATCTGAACGGTCTTTTACGATCAAATTGGAGTTGCGCATAAAATAAATATTGGTTAGTATATCTTGCTTTTTAGATCGGCACTGTCACCAGCGTGCAAGAATTTATCGTGGTTCAACTTTCATGATACTCCCTCAAGGTTCTTGAAAGCCGGAATGGCCATGGCCAGAGTCCTTATGTATGAAACATATACGGGCCATGTGGACACAAAACAAGTATATCCACAGTTTCTAGCACCATCCTGTACGTCTTTGACTAGAGTGTAAAACATACTTAGACATTGCTAATGATGTCAAATGTTTTCTGTATTTCACAACTCAAGAGTCTATCCGACTTTCAAACAAATCCATGGAATATCTTTCGTTTCACTTGGAATATGTACTCGTCAAATTGGTTTATTCGTTTCAAATGCCATGGGTTGATTGTGCTATCAACCTACTTTCTATCAAAAGGGGACTGAATCCGATGCCCCGAAGAAGAGCCTATTGCAAGCCATCAGCTCATTACGTAATTTATAGGGATCTACTGACCATGTAGTAGAAGAAATGGGTCCTCGTCATACTCCTGAACAGGCGAGCAGTAGCAAAACAAATCCACTGAGGCTATCAACCCTTGGACGTAATTTCTTAGGCGACCAGATTGCTAAATCGCATGACGAGTCTGAGGTATCTCTCGAATATAACGAAAA